TAAAAGAGATTAATTCATTCAACATTTATTAAGCACCTCTACATGCTAAGCACTGTGATAATTGTTTTACATGTTATCTCCATTAGTATTTAACAGCAAACAGTAATGCTGTGTTATCCAATATAAAAAAATTTTTTTCTGACAAACTAAATGGAACCAAGCTACCATTAACCAGTCTACTTTTCTACTTTCCCAGGGACCATTTATATTACAGTCAAATGGCAACACAGATCAAGAACACAGCGTATCTTATACCTTTGCATTTTAGATTTGAAGATATGCTCACAGAAATTTAAATCTTAAAAATATTTGATAATGTCAAGAAAAGTCACAGAAGTAAAATACTTTGTATTATTATAGTCAACAAGAAAAAATGTCTTAGTGTTTTAGACATTAAATGTTTTACAAGCTTCGGTTTTCTAGAGATATGCCCTCCATCTCATTTTAAGGCTATTTTAATAATTGTAGATAGAACTTTGTATTCCTAAGATCGTCTGTTTTTTCCTTTAAAACGGTTTCATGTCCTTACGTAATTTTGTAAATGACAGTACCAATACCAAGAACACACTGCTTTCTGTGTGTGGCACAATTCACTTCATGATAAGAGGCAACCTAGAGCGCCATTCAGTCTCCATCCCTGGGCTTGCACTGCCTTGAGTCAATGGTAGACCATAGCTTAACAGTATCCAAGTCTGAGGTTTTATATATTTTATCCTTAAGGATATTTATTTGTTTAAAAGAAGGAAATCATGCCCTGGCCGGTTTGGCTCAGCGGTTAGAGCGTCGGCCTGCAGTCCAGAGACACCTGGGTTCGGTTCCTGCTAAGGGCATGTACCTTGGTTGCAGTTTGTCCCCAGCCCTGGTTGGGTCGTGTGGGTTGCAACCACTCGATGTGTCCCTTTCACGTCGATGTTTTTCTCTCTCTCTCTCTCCCTCCCACTCTTTCTGAACCAAAAATGGAGAAATGTTCTCGGGTGAGGATAAAAAAAAAAAAGAAGGAAAACATGATGGTATATCTCCTAAATGGATCCCCAAGTATGTAGACTAGTATTTAGAGATCCCAATAATTGCTGTGGAATGCAGGATGCTGCAATCAGCTGAAAGATGTTTATCAATAAAGACTGCAAAACTGTGAGTAAAAGCCCCATCTTCTAATGGGCTAACTTCTAACTTACTCCAGGGTCAGCAATCTATTGCCCAAGGGCCAAGTCTGGCCTGCCAACTATTTTTATAAGTAAAGTTTTACTGAGACACAACCACACCTATTTGCTACAGTATTGTCTAAGGCTGCTTTTCTGCTACAACAGCATAGTTGAAAGGTCATGTGCCTCTTGATGAAGGGGATACCTTCTGAGAAATGCAATGTTAGGCAACTTTGTCATTGTGCAAACATCATACAGTATATCTACCCAAACCTAGATGGTCTAGCCTACTACACACCTAGTCTAGACGGCCGAGCCTAGAGCTCCTCAGCCACAAGCCTGCACAGCATGTACAAACAACACAAGATTAAATCAAGCACACAGGAAAATGATGCATGGTTAAACAAGGGTGTGTACTATTCTGGAACATTTTCTGTAAATTTGAAAGTAAAACAAAATTTAAAACATAGTTAGAACAAGTTTCAATGTTAGCATTTAAAAGGGAAAACTTCAGTTACCTTCTTCAACAAGCCAAGTTAATGCAGTGTCTCCCATAATGGACTTGTAAAACATATAAATTCTGTCTAGTCTGTGCATAGATCCAAGCATGCCCGAGGCTGCAGACCACCTTCACAGCCTCTAACCCTGTAGCCTAAACCACCAGCTTACATATTTTACCCTTTGAATTTATCTTTCTTTATGGAAAACAAGCTAACTAATAATTAAAGGGATCAAAAGACTTTAAGACAAAAGAGGCTGGGGCTGAGAGAGTAGTAGGGGGAAGAGGGAAGGAAGGAGGGGATATGAATAAAGGGGCCTAGTTAATCAACAAACTAGACAAACATGTTCTGAATGATCACAAGCATTAGCAGCCCTGTTTTAGCTTTTCTCTGATAGAATAGGAAGAACACTTGCCCCAAACACTTGACCCTCATACAATATATGTACCTCCTATATAGTTTTTATATGCATGTATTCCAAGAAGAGATATGAGTTCATTTTTATAAAATACAAACATTAAGCAAACAATATGAGAACTCAAAAAGTGCCTAGAGAGCCACACATATCAACGTTGTTAAATATAGAAACTAACTGTAATGAGAATCATTATCTCCAGTTTCCAAGGATACCAGGATAAGCACTACTCCTAAATTGCAGTTCACTCAGCAAAGGGCACAGAGTGATTTATATTCAGGGTCATCCCCAGCGGAGAGCAGATGTAGAAGGAGGACCAGGGCAAATCACCCTGCTTGTTCTATTCCGTTTATTACCTAGTCCAGTTCCCAGCACCCGACCCTCCCTCTCTGGTCCCAAAACTGGCTGATGTTTTACAGGCGAAATATGAAGATCTGATTATACATAGCAACTTCCACAAAGGACAGGGTAGACTGAGACGTGATTAATGCCGGGGTGAGGGGTGGGTGGGTAGGGAAGGCTGGCATTTCCATTTGCTTTGTTTGTGAAAGGGAGAGGAGGCTGGTTTTGTGTGTCTGTCACCATAGTCGCCATCTTCCCCAGTGCCTATAAAGAAACTGTCCTGTTAATTTCAACTTTCCACTCAACCGAAGCTATCCAACCTTTTAGAGCTTAACACTCCTAAACTGCCGTCGTCTCTAGAATCAAACTCATTTTCCACCTGTTCTGTCTTCTGGACTCAGGGATCTAGACCTTTCATATAATAACTTACTATTTGTTTCTATAGCAATATAAATATAAAAACTACTTTCTGACAACCTCGGAGAGACTGCCTCCGAATCATTTATTGGTTCATTCAAAACCATTTATTGATTGCTTTCAACGTGACAGGCACTGTACCAGGCTAGGCAGGAAGACGAGAAGTAACAGAGACTTCATTCTTGATCACCAGGAAAGACATCAATAACAGGCGATGTCACCTAGGTAGTTGAAAAAGAAGCATTCTCCCTCTTAGTCAAATGTCCACTTACTAAAATAGTGATCTGGATTTCGTGGATACTTTAGCTTTATTGTAAACATACAGGACGTATACAGGGTGGTGAAAAAGTAGGTGTACAGTTGCTTGTGTGGGAAAAGACATGCAGGTTACGAAAATTGTAATACAAGAATAAACTCTCGCGTTACTCACAACTGTAAACCTACGTTTGCCCACCCTGTATATAAAAAATATCATCCAGATATAGTAGCAATTTTCCATTTAGTTCTATCCTCCGTCCCCTGTCTACCCACTGCAGTGAGCTCCCATGGGGCACCTCGGCCAGGGGCAGGGGTAGCTGAAAGGAAAGACAAGCTCTCCCTGCATTCACATGCACCCCCCCCCCCACCCTGAGACAGTGGATCAGGCTAAGCTCCTTAGCTTAATGTGATAATATAGGAGAATAAGCTGCCTGCTTTGATAACCAAGGCCTTCTGTTACTTCCCTCTTTTGCAGCTACATTAATTGCAACTTTTAATTGCTTTTAAGAGGTCAAAGGAAACCACAACGGGTTCCAGCTGTTATGTAACATATACCTTATATCTCAATAAGGCAAGCTATTTCAATACTGACAGTGAACACAGACATCAAACATGTTTCTGAAAACTTTTTTCCGATACATTTTAGATGACTATAATGGCATATTTAGATACACTGTCTTCCTGATGTCAGTACAACCCAACCCTTTTGTAAAAAAACAGACTCACTTTTCTTTTGTACTGAAATGCCATTTCTAAATTCAATAAACAAGGGAATAATGTCAACTTTGAAAACTATCTGGAATTGGAAAGTTAGTCCCAATTCTCTTAAAAGTTATGTCAGTAATTGTTTTTTGTATAGTATTCAGACATCTACTATTTCTCATAAGGGGCAACATTTTGAGATGAGTTGGAATTTAGAGAAGTTTCTATGCCTGAACCTTGAAACTTTGAAAATGCTTATGTTGACAAGGTTCAACTAAACAGGGCACTATTCAACCTTTCTCCGCGCAAAAACACAGCCATTATCTTAGATGTAACACCAAACCCGAGAAGCACGCACAAATCACCGGCAGGCAATGACAGACCAGGTTTCACAAAACCTCTGAAGGCAGAAGCCTGCTTACTACATGAGGGGGATCACTGTATTCCCTAACTGTGCATAATCGACTTCATTTATTTATTTACTTCGAAACCTTCAGCATTTAAAGTACTTCACCCAACAAATCCTGGAGCCTAAAACTTGGCCTTGAGCCACTTGGCTTTCTGGATGAAAAATCCTGGGATGCCCACCTCTTCTCTTCCACTTCTGTAACATTTAAATTGTGTGTACGTCTTCGCAAACACTTTCTAGTAGATCACCCTCCCCCTACCTCCTTGTAACTAGAAAGTGTCCAACTGGCAATCCTCAAATTATAAAGGCGGCAAAAACGTCCCTGAGTGCTGTTGCAAATTTTTAAACAGCGGATTAAGGACAACCAGGAAGGGGCAGCTGTGAGGAGGCCGAGCCACCGGCCCCGGCTCGGGTCCTGGGCCCAGCGTGCAGCCCTCAGCCTCGAGCGCAGCCTCCCGGCCTCACCTGGGCGGAGGCTGCCGGCGGCGGGGACCACCGGCCCCCCGGGGACCGCCTAGCCGAGGTAGGGGGTGTGGCCGTGGTGGGTAGCGGAAGGCGAAGGGGGGTGTCGGGGCTGCAAGTGCGTGGAGGTGACACCGCAACCCGAGAGTTGCAAGGGGAAGGAGGCTGCCCCGGGCTGTCTCCGGCCGCAGTGCCCCGGACAGGCAGCTAGCCGGCGGCTCCGGGGACGCACGGGGGCTCCGGGGCAGGGCGTGGAGGCGCGGCTGTGGGTGCCCCGGGGCCCTGCGCCCCGGGACTGTGGGTGCGCCACGCAGGGGGCGAGGGCGAGCCGGGCGGCTGCGGCGCGCACTCACCGATGCACAGCTGGATGGCGTAGGCGTAGTAGGACCAGCCGAGCAGGAGGCTGATGAACACCACCGGGATCCAGTACAGCACCCGCCGGCACCGCCGCCTGACGCTGCCCGGGCCCGACGGCGCCATCTTCCAGCAGCATCCACCTGCCCAGCTCCGCCGCCGCCCGCGGGCCTGGCTCCGAGGCGGGCTGGCCGCGCCCGGCGTCCCCGGCGGAATGGGCCCGGGGGCGGCGGCCGGCTGCGCTGCGGCCACTGCCGCCGCCGTGGCGCTAAGTCCCCATCCCGCAGCCCCGAGCCGGCGCCGCGGACTCCCGCGTCCTCAGCCCAGCGGAGCGGCGCCGCGAGAGCAGGACGGCGAGCAGGACGGCGAGGAGGACGGCGGGAGCCCGCGCCCCGCCCCCCGCCCGCCCCGCCGCCTCCCCCCGCGGCCGCGGCGCCCTCCGAGGCCGTGCGCCTGGGGTGGGGTCTGGCTCCGGTGCACCTGGATGCGCACCCCGGGCAGGTGGGAGGTGCCGCCGGGGGTCGGGCTGGAGGCGGGGCGGCCCCTGCGCGGCGTCCGCAGCTCGGGCAGCCGGAGAGCCGGAGTGGCCACGCTGCGCCTCGGGCCGCCCGCGGGGGCGGGGGCGGGGGCGGGGGCGGGGGCGGCAGAGCTGGCCTTCCGCCGACCGGCCGCGCACCTGCCCCGGGCAGGCGGGGAGCGACTCGCCCGCCCGCCCGGTACCTGCGCCCTTGGAGAGTCTGGGCGCCGAGGCCGAGGTCCTCCGGCTTGGAAAACTGTCGCTTCCACTTGTGGCTCCCGGTGCACGGGCGAGGGCAGCCAGGGCGGGGCTGCTTTCCCGAACCTGGAAACTGCAGGGGTTGGGCGTTTTGGGGGGCAGCGGGAATACGCCAAGAAGTGGGGGTGCGGGGCTGTCCGAAGAGGTTGGGCACTGAGGAAGACGCACTTTGGGTTGAGAATCCAAGGACCACCGGAGTTAGAAACACAAATTATTTGCTCTGAGAATCTGAACTCTCCTATTGAACAGAAGTGTGATTGTGAGAGTGACCATTCCCACTGCCCCCTCCCGAGAGCGAGGGGTGGGGGTTCCCTGTGTCCTCCTTCCCAGCCCATTCTGGGTGCTGGTTGAAAATTTCAAGGGCTGGTTGAAAATGCTGGACGACATCCTCAAGGTAGTTAGACCAAAGCCCTAGATTTCGGAAAAAATACAAGTGTTTCTGATACTTTTTTCCCCTTCATCTAACTGTGAACGCACCTGATTCCTCACGAAACACTTCAGTAGAGGTAGTGTATCCGAATTATATACATAATTGCTGGGTATAATGGACACAATTTCACTTAAAACTAATGGATATGTATTTACTTACAACACAGAGCCACAATACTGACGAATTACTTCATATTCATGTGGAGAATGAAAAGATAAAGTAGAAGTAAAAAAAAAAAAAAGTACTGATTAGTGTAAATGTAGTCAAATCGAAGCTCTTATGTGTTTGCCATTATCTTTCTGTGACTGGATTAAACAACAAGCTAATATTCTCCTCTGAAATAGCTATTATATTCACTCACATCCCAAATCTCTTTGCATGTGTATTAAAAACGATGCGTAGAAAATGTCAGTCAAGTTTCTGTGGGACTTGAAATAACTGAAGTGAAATTGTTCTGCGCCAGGGAACCACTCCTGCTGTAGCACCTTTTACCCTCTATGAGGGTAGATGAGTATAAACATGTAACTTCCCTGAAAATCTTAACTTTTCCCATGCATGTTAACCTTATGTTCCCAATCAGGAAAAAAAAACTAAAAACAAGAAATAAAAGTCCCTATCAGATTGCAGGTCACTCAAGACTACCATGGAATGGAAAGGCCGGATCCAGTTTTGCACAGTGGAAGACAGTCGGATTGTGCCTCTTTGTACGATGGGTGCTACCATGCCCTGTGCTGCTTTTCTTCTAACAGTCTTACAGGGTCCTGAGGTCATAAATGCAGTAGCATTCTACAGTTTTCACATCTTTTTTTCTTTCGGGAGAATACACAGGTATAACATTTTTGCAGGAGGCTACATTTTTATGGGTTATCTAAAATGTTACTTAATTGTTCAAATGTATAAATATTTGTGGAATTATTACAACCTATTGTTAACCATTTTAAGAGTACTAGTGTTACTGAGTTCTCCAAGGGTGTCACTCTTACCTTTAAAAAAACAAGTTGAGCTCAGGAAGAATTGTCTCAAAAGCCACATGATGATGGGATTGACCTCTGCATAGCCACTAATTCGACAGGTATAATCATGCATGCTCACATGTAAGCTCGTTGGTAAGTAGCCGATTGCTAAATATTGGGCATTGGTGAGAGTGGAAAAATAACTTTAATTGTTAGAGCTAGAGAACCTTAGACTTTATGCATTATTTAGGGCTGTGTATCAATAGGGAAACAATTTGGGGGTCATAGACAATTAAATAGAAACTTCACTAAAGACTTACTCTTTAGAGAGAAGTACAGAAGGTTAACTTAGCAATTTTAGATATTCAGTAATTACAACAAATTGTGACTATCATGTAATTTGATAAAACTGCTACGGCCAGTTTTGAAAGAGCCAGTCACAGCAGGGGTTGGGGAGAGAGAGAGACAGAGACACTAAAGAGAGGAAGAGGATGGCAGGCAGATGGGAGGAAGGGGAGCACTTAAGAGGAGGAGATAGGCCCCCTTACCTGGCCCACCCAGTCCCTAAGAACCGGAATTCCATCCTTACAGGCCTCTGCCTGGATGCTCCACCCATCCAGCAATTCATCAAAGTCATTAATCTCTGAAAATGTGAAACAAAACTGCTCTCAGTTCACGGTCCCATGAAGGAGACTTGATCTTGCTCTCCCTCTAGCCAAGCTTGCTTTGAATCAGCCCCTCCGATACTTCGGTCCCCAAACCTCAAACGTATCTTGCCTTCATGGTTAATATTCCAAATTTCCCTCCTACTCCCAGATCCAGGTTAAATTTTTCACTTTCTCCCTTTCATACATAGTCTGAATCGAGACGAGCACAGTCGGCCAGACCTGAGAACCCACCCCATCTCTAGGGAGCATGGACCTCCATTCCTGCTGCCTGTACCAACCTCATCTCATCTTTACAGCCAGATCACCTACCAGGAATTTTATTAGGTCACTTGTTTGATAGTTATCCATGTCCTTTTGAAAGTGTTTTTAGGGAGGAAAAAAAAAGTGTTCTCAGAGGGAAACATTGCATCTTTGAAGTATAAGATCAATGGGATTACTCTCAGATGTGTGATAAATTGTGCTGATTTTACTGTCAAGCATGGTGCTCCAGGATGCTGCCTTCTCAGGACTGGAAGGAATGAAACTGAGGCCTGGATCTGCTCCTTTACTTCCAGCTCTCCCATTCGTCCTGGCGTGGTCTGTGAAAATACTGATAGATCCTCTTTCATTGTTTCCTTGAACTAAACCTCTCTCTTTTGTGGGGAGGAAATCCCTTTGGAAGTCAACAATCCATATCAGTGACTCCAATTTTAATTGCACCTTTATAGTAGTGGCCAAGATAGTCTCTGTGGAATAACAATAATAATATGCCCAAACCACATGTTTTCAGACACACGTAAAATACAAACAATCTGAGAAAGGGAACGTGGTTTAGGGAATGTGGGGATGACGCATTGCTAAGATATTCTTTGTCTCTCAGAGATTTATAGTTCACAATTAACCCAGGATGGAATGGAAATGCAATGCAAGATCATTTTAAAAACCTGAGGAATGTGTGGTTAATTGTCTCAAAACATTGGAAAAATTGCTAAAATGGGAAAAAGTCACAAATCTTGCTTTTCAAGTACTCTGGGTTGTCTATGATAGTATTAATGTTTCTCACCACCAGATGGCAGGCACACACCAAGCAGTCCTGCTCTACTGACACGTTTTCAAAAAGATTTCTGTAGCATCAACCATCATCAGCTTAATCAAGCCAGTTATAAATTATGAATGATAACTTCATGACAAATGATATATAATTATAACTAGTTATAATTATATGTTATAATGTTACAGTTTTATGTTATAAGTCAGGAGCTAATGATTAATCAATAAAAACCATATTCAGAAAATTGAAAAGAATTGAGACCTTTTTTATACAAAGCAAATCACTTTGATTCTGCTTCCACTTCTTTACAATTTCCACTAAAGTTAACCACTTCAGAAGTAAAATAATAACTTCATTTAAACGATTGCTTTTGCCTACACTGAGCCCTTCCCTTGTGCCAAAATGGGTAGAAGGCAGTGTCTATAGAAGCCAAAAGGTGAGCAGATATTTTCTCCCCACGACTGGCAAGATCTTTAAGGAGTGACACAGTGGCATGAGTTCAGTCGGATTATTGGAAGTGGCCGTTGTGGAATTGAGAGGTCAGTGGTCAACAGAGAGTGGCCAAGGGCGACAGAATCCTGCAGTGCGGTGGCAAGCGTCCGGCGGCGTCACTGCCCCCTGGCATGCCGGCAGGCTGTTCATGCAAGATCGTGGCTGTGCGCCAAATTTATCTGTGTCAGCTCAAGCTTGGTTCTCCAGGCTTCCTATTGAATTTGTAAGGGTTTATTTACCCGCAGAACATTTTATTTTTGTCTGTGTAAAGCAACTAGCATTGATTGTGTTTGCAGCCAAGCACACTAACTGGAACATAGTTTTATTTTCATTCTGTATCCCATTTAGTTTTTTTAAATATATTTTTTATTGATTTTTTTTTTTTTTTAAGAAAAAGAAATATCAATGCGAGAGAACCATTGATTAGTGGCCTCTTGTATGCCCATACTGGGCATCAAGCCTGCAGCCTGGGCATATGCCCTGACCAGGAATTGAACTAGTGACCTGTCAGCACATGGGATGATGCTCAACCAACTGAGCCACACCAGCCAGGGCTGTATCCCATTTCTTTTTTATTTTTTATCTTCACCCAAGGACATTTTTCCATTTTTTGTTCAGATAGAGTAGGAGGGAGAAAGGAAGAGAAAGAGAGAGATAAACATCAATGTGAAAGGGACACATCAAGTGGCTGCCTCCTGCAAGACCCAACCAGGGCCAGGGATAAACTGCAACCAAGATACGTGCCTTTAGTGGGAACCGAACCCGGGTCTCTCTGGACTGCGGGCTGATGCTCTAACCACTGAGCAACCATCCAGGGCTGTATCCCATTTCTTAAAGAATCAGTGTCAGGGCCTGGAGACTGAGGCACTAGGAGACATAGGATACAGGAGTTGGAGATGGAGGAGCTGTGTTCTTTGGACTTGCACTGAGCAGTGAGCTGCTGGCCACGTGAGGCTATTCAAATTTAATTAGAATTATTGAAAATGAAATACACTAAAAAATTCCACTTTCTTAGTTGCAGCAACCACACTTCAAGGGCTCACGGCCACATGTGGCTGTTGGTGGCAGTGAAGATCCAGGACATTTCCGTCGTCACGGGATGCTCCACTGGACAGACTGACAGGACATTTTATCTCGTCTGAACACTCATGTGGCAGACTTTGTATTTATACATGGCAGAAACAAAAAAGTCCCCTCTCTAATTATATGTCTAATGTTTTGCAGACAGAAAATGAGAGGTAATAGAAAGCTGAAGACACATTTAAGTTTGTAGTGTTAGGAGCTTTCTTTGAAAACATGAGTCTAAGGAGTAAGGAGCCAGTTGGGTGAAAATGGGGTAAGAGGTATCACTACAGATTCTTCCACCTGAGGTCTGTGTGCAAATGATTACTTTCAAAGGATACGCAGCGAGAAACTTAGAGACTACTATACTCAAATTTCCATAATTAAGTCAAGTCTTAGATCTAGCTGTTCAGCCAGCTGCGCCTGAAAGTATATATAGACTCATTCCTGGAAAACTCCAGCCTTGAAACACAGAATGGTCTGTCTTCATCCAGTGGCTATAAAGACCTTTTCTGTTCTGTTGGTTGATAAGAGGATCATTGGGGCATCCAAACCATAATGGGCTACACTCAGCTCTGTCTCGCTCAGGCTGCAGGCTGGATTAGTCAGGGTGGATTTTCTACATGGCACATGTGTGGGGGTGGAAGTAATGTGTCTTGCCCAGTGGTCTGTATCCATCCACACTGGCTCTGGGAAAAAAACATAGAAACATTTAATATTTACTATTAATAAGTATTTCCAAGTGTTGTCAGTCTTCCAGTGTAACTTGGAGCTCAAGGTCACATTGCAATTTATTTTGCAAAAGGGAAAACGTCTAACTAGGGTTTTCTTGGGTCTTTAAAATGAGCAGGCAAAATGAAAAATAAATATTTAATGCTGACATTTAACAAGAAAGACATGTAGGCTTCAGATTTATAATAGAAAAAAAAATTTGATCATCAGGGATTCTTCCAACAGCTAGAATCAATTCAGTATAAATTATATCTTATTCCTCAGAGCCTTTGAGTCTATAAAATTTCAAGTGATACTTGGATACTCCAGATTGTGAATTTCCTTCTGCTGGTTTCCTTCTGCATTTGCTCGTATTCCAGTCCCTTTGATAATGGGTCATGCTGTGAGAAATGCTGCTTTGGCAATGGAATATCATTAACCTTTATATCTGGAATGTGAGACAACATGAGTTTTTGTTTTTCAAGCACTCAGTATAGTGGTTGAGGGTTCAGAGTCCATATGATCAGTGGACCCACCTTGGAGAAAACCACTGTTATACTAAAGAATGGCACAGAAGCCCTGGCAGGTTTGGCTCAGTGGTTGGAGCGTTGACCTGCGGATCAGAGAGTCCCAGGTTCCCAGGTTCGGTTCCCGCTAGGGGCACATACCAAAAAAAAAAAAAAAAAAAAGAATGGCACAGAAGCTTCTATCTCAAATAGACAGTGGGATGTGGGATTGCTTTTCCATAATGTCACTCATATAGAAAAAGAGTACATTTATGATACAACATTCTCATTTGGAAGAACATTAAATTTATTTCCAGAGAGATTGTGTAGAAGATGAAGTTTTATCTTGTTTGCATTGCGAGACAGATGATGGCCATACTTCAGGCTAGATACTTAGAAATATAACTGAAGTACCAGCATTAGAGTTTGGTTTTGCTCTGGGTGTTGCAACTGACAAACCTGGGTGTGAATTCCAGTTCTTCCCCTTACTAGCTCTCTGCTCTGTAGCAAGTTATTTACATTCTCTGGCATTTCTTGGGATATTTCTTGTTTCCTCAACAAATAAATTGGGGAAGCAATATATGAAAGTCCTTTAATAAATCCGTACATTCATCCACCTAACACATTTTGATGACTTCCTGTGTTCGAGGTATTATAATATGTGATGGTTCATGACATGGTGAGCAAAAAAAACAAACAAATCCCAAAACAAAACCCAAACAAAGAGCATGCCTTAGTCAAGTTCACCATACATCTAAGGAATGAGGATACTTTTACTTGAATGGGGATATGTTTATTAGGTTCATTGTCATGTCATCAAATGCCCTGTTGGTTTGTATGCTGTTTCTACTTATGTATACAAGGTATTAGATATGTGCATCCTGGTGCAAGAATCAGTTTGAACTGCCATGATCTGAAATGCAGCTAGTCTGCCTGTGTCTAAAAGTGAAAATGCCCATCACTAGTGGACACGTTTATATGAACAATCTGATGTTAAAATGTACATTCTTCAAACATTGCTGATGTTGAGTGTTAGTATAAAGGTGCAGATTGTATGCAAGCTTTTGGGGATCTTCTCACCAAAGCAGAGCACCCCCCCCCCCGGGGGCTGGGAATTTCTATTTGCCCTTCCAGATCCATTCTCTACCCTTCTTTGTGTTGTGCAAGGCTCATC